GAGAAATTTTAAAGGTGAAAATCCCCCTTAAACAGAATTGCACACAGTGTATGTCCACAAAAAGGCCATAACATTTTACAAGGGGAGATTTCTTTAAGGTTTCCAACCTCAAATGGTTAACAAACATAGAGTCTACTATGACAACTACTGTGTTGTCTTTATTTAATATTTCCTCTAATCCCCCCATTCTCTGTTGCTTGTAGTTTCTGGTACCTTTTAAAAGCTAACCAATACTACTCTTTCTTGTTTTTCTTTTAGTTTAAGTATAGAATATGTGAAAAACAGGACCAATAATAAGGCCATCGCCCAAAGTGCAATATTAACAATGCGTACATGTGGTTGAAGCTGAGCGTCCCCTGTTCACAAAATGTCATTGTCAGAAATGTTTCCATCTTTAACTTCCTGCACATTTGAGCTAAACCACACTTCTGTGGTCAATAGGCAAGGTGTTGTCTCTGACAGTAGTGGTGACAAAAACAACAAGCGCTGTATGAGGGACAGGTATGAGAAACTGTTCATATCTCTTAAATCTCTCTAGTGCTGATTAACATGTCTTTTTTTAATGACTGCCATCTTTCTATAACAAATCAGTCAGAAAACTGCATTTAAGTGTTATTTGTCTGTCAAGAAGAAATCTGTTTATGACCTTTTTATGAAAGTACGACAGTTACTGCAGTCAAGTCAATACAAGGACTGGAATCAGATGACATCAGAAGCACAATACAAAGTACAATAAATTATTAGTTGAAAAAGAAGTGCTGCTGCTGGGAACAAACCCGAGGGCTAGAGAATGAAGTCACTGCTGCTTCCGGTTTAGTCACGATAACTCTAGAAGACATGCAGTTCACTTAGAGAACCACAAGCTTCCTCCATTCATCTCATCCGCAGTATGGCTGTACAGCTGTACGTTTCATCACATGACTCCACCACATATTGCAAAACATTTTTCAGTTTTTTCATCTGCAAGTGTCCATTTAAAATCAACAACACTCAGGAAAATTTGATGACAGCATACTCTGGGTTTTTAACTTGGTTAGTCTCGGTGTGCCGTTTTCCAGCAGGTTTGCCGTGGTTGATGACAGCATACGTTGCATAGTCTTCATTTCTGACTGCTGGATTTGGAGCTGAAATCTGGTACTCATGCGGCTCGTGAGCTGGTGATCCTGGTCTTTCAGCAGTGAAAGAAGACTCTGGGTTTTTAACTTGGTTAGTCATGGTGTGATATTTTCCACCCTGTTTGGTAGCGTGTCTATGTTTGATGATACCATATACTTCACAGTCTTGATATTTAAGTGCTGGATTTGAAGCTGAAATCTGGTTCGAACCGGGCTGGGAAGCTGGTGATACTGATCTTTCTGGAGTGTATGATGAATAGATGTCATTTAAAACAGACAAGTTGGTCAGTGGGACAGGAGTGGAAGGAGGGCTCCATTTAGGGAGGTCTGGTATCATAAGAGTCGGCATTTCCTATGGCACAAAACACCAAAATGAGAATATATTAAACATATATTAGAATATATTAGTAAAAAAAAAATTCTCGACACTCCCATGACAGTAAATCTGAAGCAAGGTGGAAGATAATTAGCTTAGAAAACAAGTAAAATCAGCCTGCCAGGTTGTCAGAGGCTCACAAAATGTTATATACTGTATTACTTGTTTATTTTATGGCCTATAAAAACATTCAAACTGAAACAAAAAGAAAGAAATTGTTCATCAGTGAGTTAAACTACGGGTTCTCCTATTTTCAAGCCTGTTGTTAGACCAAAAGTACCCTGAAAAAAAAGTCAAAAATTATACTACTTCAAGGTGCCATTAGACGCTGGCTCCAAAAGTGAATAAGTAAAATTTTACTTATATAGCACCTTTCAAGACAAGGATAACAAAGTGTTTCACAACAAAATAACAGTGCATAAATAATACTTTTTGTCCCCCCAAATATCCCAAAAATATATTTTGATATGACCAACATTACCTCTCCCTTTACGTAGTTTAAGGTCAGCACTCCTGTAGAAAAAGTCAATAAATAAATTACACATTTTTAGATGGTAAATTCAATGAAATCAGTTTCAACCATCCAAAATAAAAATTAGCGCTCTTACGTTTCCAGTCACAAGAACTCAAGAATATGAGGGCAGTCAGTATGAGAATAAGAAGCACTATGCCAAAACAAATGTAGAAGTATGGCCTCCAGTTTTCATTGTGATCAGGGCTCGGTGTTGTTCCTACAAAAGCAGAATCACCAGATCAGTCGTGCTAAACTGCATCCACGAAAATGTTGGCAGTGATTTTCTGACAAATAAAGCTTCTCACCTGCATTTTTATCATTATTATCGGGGGTTTCAACTCCCTGGTACATGTCTTCAGGGAATGATAGTAGACAGAATTAACACTTCATATTTTATTATTTTATATTTTAATGCCGAAGAAGAATAAAATATACCTGAAAGCATACCTGATACTGAGATGATGATGAAATGGCTGATTATGCTGCCATTATATCCTAGTAAACCACATCTGTACATGCCATCGTCATGAATGGAAATCTCCTTGAAATTTAAATATGAGATCAGCTTATCCTTATCAGGATTCTGTGTTATCTTCACATTTTTTGTTTCATGAATCCGTTCACAGTTGTTTGAGTCAAAGAGTTTACACCAGGTGACCTCCAGCGTTTCTCCACAGTGTATAACCGGACAGCTGACTGTCAGACTTTGTCGTGGAGGAGTCTTCCAAGTGCTGCCTCTTTGGACCATAATCGCAACATCACACGATGCATGTAGACCTGCAATATTTTTTTTTTAATTAATGCGTAATTCTTACCAGAAAAGAATTAACGCCTGTTTACATAAAGCATATTTTCTTCTTTTGTGATCGCAACAATGAAATACATTTTTTATCTTAATACTATATAAATTGTCCCATCCCACACATGTCGTCCATCTTAATTATAAGATAACCTTTATTAGTCCCACACGTGGGAAATTTGTTATTTATCTATCTGTCATTTTATTAGTCTAATTATGTCCCAGAGCTCTCTGGAGTGCTAACATTTCAAAGACAGAGAGAATATAGACATAATGGTAATTAGATGCTGTGTATTTAAAAACAACATGTTTCATATTCACATGTATATTTATACATAAGACAATTTATTTTATACAGTTTGTATTTCATTCTATCAGTATTGTTTCCTCAGTAACTGGAGGACATACTGGCCATTTACTTGCGCAAGATAAGATTAAGATTCATGTTTGTAAAGATTTGTTTTAAGTTTTATCTTATCTGCTACAGATGTAATGTTTACATGATTTAATTAATGTTTAATTAATGTTTTTACAATAAATTTTATGATAATATGCATTGTATAAAGGAACTGTATTGTATTGTGTGGCTTTTATGTGGCATGGTTGAGATTTAGTGCCGTGAGGCTGCATGCCACAGAGGGAAATCTAGTTGCAGATTTTACCTTTACTCTGGTTTACACTGAGAGAATGCACCTCCTGATCTGAAGCAAAAGCCCTTTAGTCTTACTCACACATAATTCAGTGCTCAGTCAAATAATAGACACCTCAGAAACCTAATATAAATGATTAGAGGTGTAAAAAAAATCTACAGATAGACAAGAAGCCAATAATACTTCGAGGTAGTGCCCATATGCCCTGGTAATAAAAGGTAATAAAAATATTCACATATTTTCTACGATTTTCCCTCATCATCTATAATATTGACATGTAATTTCCATCATAGTGGCTGTAACACACAAATATGCCCAAATTTGTCATGCCATGTTCAAATAATTCATATCAGCACATTTTTCCAAGAACAACATCTGATTATTTGGTTAATTAGGTGCCTTTATGATTTGACGTTACATAAAATATCATCTCTCTATTTTTTTTAAACTCCATAGCGTGCCCCAGAAGTACGTCACTATTATAAAATGTATGAATTGTTAAATGGCAGTACATACTCTTTTTATTTAGTCCAGCAACGACGCCCTGTATACAACAATAACAATAAAGTGTGCTACATTGTTTGTTTTTGGTACAACTTTAAAGAAAGTTGAATTAAGCATTTTAATCTCTGTCGTGTTTTTTTCACACTCATTATGTTAAATATTAAATAAATAGTTTTAAACTTCTATCTTTGTTCCTCAGTAATGATTACTCTATAGCTATTATAGTCTATGTTCTAGCAGTGTGCTCTAAAGTGTTCCTACCCTCAAACAACCATGGCACATGTATAACAGCTAGTCCATCAATAAAATAATATCTATGTTTACCTTTGCCGCTTCCATGGACAGAGACAAACACACAGCAGCAAAATATTATCAGATAATTCAGTTTATCCTTTAGGCTCAACATGCTCACAGCCTGAAAGTTTTCAAATAGTTGACTGTAGGTACGTCAGGGGCTTTTCACATGTGACAGGCTCACCACTTCCTGACATCCCACACGCATGCCACGACCATTCGGCACATTTTGTGTAATTCAGTATGCTGTTACTTAACAAAGTTTCCAGCAATGTTAAGGAGGAGTGGACTTTATGTAATCAAAGAAGTACTTTTCCAGTATCTCGCTGGTAGTTCGGTATTTCGACTCAAGTAGTTCCATTAACTTTTTGGCTTGTTTGGTTTATGACTGGAGATTTATCAGTGGGGCTTTAGGGGACTAGGAAATGTTTTGTCATTGCTTCTCAACTATAATTAAACCCCTATTTTTAAAACCCCCATCGTGATCCTTAGTGCTGGAAGCATTATCCACAGTTGTTTAGTTATTGTACAGAAGTTGTTTCATTCACCTTTATATGGACCCTGAGTTTCTAAAGGTGGCTATTGGACCTGCTTGAAATTGTACACTTAACTAAAGCTAGCTTTCCAGTGCAGAGTAGAGACTGTTAGGGCCCTATGCAGAAATTCAACGGGGCCCCTCTAACCAGCGTTCTTCACCATTATCTCATAATTAATCTGGAACCAGTCAAACAACTGCTTGTCTGACTGGTATACTTGTATTAGGCATCTCTCCTCCACAGTTAAGATTATATTAACTGTGAATTATATTTAATGTGAGGATAGCTCCTTTTTATATTCATGAAGTAGCTTTCATTGTTGTCCATAGCTTTGTTTAAACAGGAGTTAGAGGAGGAAGGCTGGGCCCCCTTAGGGAGGTCAGGTGTCTTCTACTATTATGGTAAGCTTTAAGCATTGATTAAGAGTTTCAACGTTTTTCAGCCCACAGGGCACTCCACTTGCCTGCGGCCTGTTACGCCTCGTGGCAAGCAGCACTTCTGTGTAATTCTTTTTTTGTTTGCTAATTAATTTCTTGTTTGGTCGTTTTGTCATTTGTCAGTTTGGAAAATAAGTTATGTTAAAATTTGTTTTCCTTTATGAGTATGTAAAAACAAACCAAAAAAATCTAAAAAGTAGTATTAAATTTGTAAGAACATTCCACAATACAGTCCTAGAGCATTGCAATTTTTTTTAAATGAAGATGCAGCAGTTCTTTTTAAACAAAACTTAAACATGCTGTTATTTTGTTTTACTTTGTTTTATTAACTGAGGGTCAAAGTGTTAACATGCACAAATTCACTATCTAAAAAAGAACACTTTAGCTTTGCCCCAGAAAATGAGGAATTTCTGATAGTTTTCTTCAGACTTAAACAGGAAAATTGGATCAATTATTACACAAAAAATAATCTTTTCTTCACACTCGGGTTACCAGTATACTTATATGAACAACTTATAATACCGATCATGCTTCAGCCTTCATTATGCTGCAACCTGTGTACATACATGTGCGTTAGAAATCTGAAGTATACAGCAAGAATGACTTTTGTTTTTACTCTTTTTTGCTCTGTCTGTGCAGCCAGCAGGTGGTGTAAACTACACCTTTCTATGTAGTTTGTAGACAATGCTTTTCAGGGTCATGTGAATCAGAGCATACTTTTCCAACAGCATCATCTGGTGGAAAATTGTGTGTTACTTCATGTGGATATGCCATTATGTGTGTCTCTGTACAAAATTAATATAATCATTTATTTCTCTTTTAGCTTTTGGTAGTTATCTATAGATAAACATTTTGGACCACAGTGACATGAGAGTATCAAACAGCTTCCAGATATGTCAGTTGCACACCCATGATTAGTGATGTGACGTTCTGTATCGAGGCTTCAAGTAATGGAGGGGGCGTTTCCGCGATGCGCGGAACGAGGCGTGCTTCATTCATGGGAGGAGCTGAAAATGATGACGTCCGAAGCCTCGCTGACCGGCTGTACCACGTGACTGGTTCAGGAAGTGGTTTGAACTTCGCCGCGAGCTATGACAGCGATATAAACCCCTCAGACTTTATTCAAAATGTGGGTGTTTGATGGAGAGTTGCGGTTAGTGAGAGTTTGGAGACAGTTTGGAGGTTTATGAGAGTGAGGAGAGAAAGTCAGGAGAGAATGGAGCCAGCTAAGAAGAGGAGGCTGTCCTCCCCTGTGTGGGAACATTTTGATCTTATTCCAGTTCATTTGCACTATAATGTGTAATGAATGTGTTATGTTGTTTGTGACTGTATTGTTTCAATTGTTAATAAAAAATAAATAAAAATAAAAAAAGCTGCAGCCGGGTCTACCCGCATGTGCAGATGTTTTCTTCTTCTTCTGTTCGTTTAATGGCAATGTACTCCCCAGTGTACGAGGATACCGCCACCTGCTGACCGAGCGAATAAACCCTATTATAAACTAAAAAAAAAAAATTGATCTTATTCCTCCCAACAAGGTATGTTAATTTCTACAGAAGATGTATTTTCATAATACTGATGGTGCAATACAATTTATGTTAAGCTGTCTTTACTTTTGTACAAGGGGAAGTGTTTGCTATGTGCCAGGGAGCTGGGATATAACAACAACACCTCATCTAGGCACTGCTGTAATGTTACTAAATGATATAACAATATTATACAACTGCAATAAGTTACGTGTGTGATATTTATATTTGTGCTTTGTCTTTATTGTCTTTCCTCAGGAGAAAAATCTCAAATAGATGAAGACCTGGTTAGCATAGTGATTGACTCCCAGCCATTTAGCATTGTGGAGGACAAAGGATTTAAAAGATTTGTTAAATCATTAAATCCTAGCTATGTTCTCCCCACTAAAAAGGCCATAAAAGCAGTGAAAATTTAGTTTTTACAGAATAAAATGTGAACAGGCAGGACTGAGGCCTCAGTCTGTAGCTGTCCATACCTCAACGTTAAAAAAGCACAACCACTGTCCATACCCCAACCACACCTCACCTCACAGTAAATGATCATTTCCATTTTAAGCATTTCCAAATAATCATTTTCCATACTGCCAGTATAAATATACACAGTATACTGCCATCACTACAATATACGTGTTTTACACACTCCTTTTGTTGTTGACATTTACAGGCTGTGTGCAAAAGGCCACACTCTTCAAATTCATGCCAACTAATATTTTTACGTCCAGTAGATGTCCTACTAGAGCAAATGAAGCTTCAAGATGCTTTGCACTGGGGTGAACCAATTGGATGAAAAGCTTCAGTGCTTCTTGAAGCTTCATCTGCCCATCACTACCCATGATACAAATCTCATGTTCCACCACATCCTAAAGCTCCTCTACTGGGTTGAGATCTGCTGTGGAGGCCATTTGAGTACAGCAAACTCACTGTCATGGTCAAAAACTGGCTGCAGATCCTTTTTAGATTTGTAACATTTTCTTATCGTGTTCAAAATGGCCTTCAAAATGTCATCATAATGGGATGGACATGGTCAGCAACATAATTCAGGTAGGCTGTGGTATTTAAAATATGCTACTAAAGGACCCAAAGTGTGCCATGAAAATATATCCTACACCATTCAACGGACAGAAGTAGTGTGAATCACTGATACAAAGTAGGATGGAGCCTTGCTTTTATTTTGTTTACACTGAATTCTGAATTTGCCATTTGAATCTTGCAGCAGAAGTTGAGACCGGGAAACATTTTCCAGTGTCCTAATGTGAACTGTAGATTCTGTTTTTTGTTCCGAGATGACAGGAGTGGCACCCAGTGTGCTCTTCTGTTGCTGTAGCCCATCTGCTTCAAGGTTCAATGTGTTGTGCATTCAGAGATGCTCTTCAGCATACACTGGTGCAAACAATTGGTTTTTTGAATTATTTGTTTTTTTACTATTATCATAAGAAGACTGAACATTCTCTTCTGACTTCTGGAATTAGCAAGACATTTTCAACCAGAGAACTGCTGCTCACTGGCTGTTTTCTCTTTTTCGGTTCATTCTCAGCAAACCCTGGAGATGAATATGGGGGAGGCAGACAGTTTTTAAAATGCTCAGGCCACGTTCAAAGTTGTTTAAATCACCATCTTCCTCAGTCTGATGTTAGTTTGAAATTCAACAGGGTGTTGAATTTCAAACTAACAACAAGCTATCTCGCTAACAATAGCTAGCTAGCTTGTATTTTGTTAAATACACAAACGTTCATAAGGCTGGCATTGTGAAGTGTACCGTTGTTGCAAACTAAGAAGTTAGTGTTCAAACCCATCAGTATGGATTCTGTCCGGCTACTCCTGCTTCATCCCAACGACATGTTTCACTGTTTCTGCTAAATTGGTTTTAGGTGTGGATGTGAATGGTTGTCTGTCTCTCTCTGTGTCTGTTCAGGGAGAAACCACCTCACACCTGATGGAAACTAGTGTTCAGTGCTACCCATGGATAAGGTATATGACCCCTTTTTAAGCAAACAGTATTGTGTAATTCAATAATAATTCTGAATACATTATCATACCATAAAAGATAAAGAATACTCACCATAGGATTTGTTCCTAAAAAGAACATATTGATGCGTCAGTATACCAGAGATTTTCTTAATATAAGCATGGTAAATGGCCTGTATTTATATAGCGCTTTACTAGTCCCTAAGGACCCCAAAGCGCTTTACACATCCAGTCATCCACCCATTCACACACTGGTGATGGCAAGCTAAATTGTAGCCACAGCCACCCTGGGGCGCACTGACAGAGGCGAGGCTGCCGGACACTGGCACCACCAGGCCCTCTGGCCACCACCAGTAGGCAACTGGGTCTTGCTCAAGGACACAACAACCAAGACTGTCCAAGCCAGGACTCGAACCAGAAACCTTCAGATTATAAGGTGAACTCCCAACTCTTGAGCCACGAAGAAGGATTTCTTATCCTTGTTTACAATCTACGGAGGGGGGCTAGAGCCTGTTCCAGCTGTCACAGGGCAAAAGGGTACAGCCTGGACTGGTTGCCAGTGTATTATAAGGCTGACACATAGAGCATTCACACTCAGATTCACAGTTAAAGTCAGTTTAGAATAATCAATTAATCTAAACCATAGGTGTCAAACTCTGGCAGATTTGGCCCGCAGCCTAATTACATTTGGCCCGCGAAGCCATACCAAATTACTATTAGAGCTGACCTACTGGTATTATACAGCTAATATATATATTGTTTAGTATTAAGCTTTGTTGTTCCATATTCAGTTTTTTAGCTAAACTTGTTTGAGTCCATAAGAAAAGATTCATTCTTATATCTGGAGGAAGATTTTTTTTTCAATAAATATTAATGTTAGCCTGCGACTTTGTTCCATTTTGAATTTTGGCCCACTGTGTATTTGAGTTTGACACCCCTGATAAACCCATGAATATATTTGAACTGTGGGAAAAAGCTGAAGCAGTGGATCCATGCAGGCACAGACAGAACATGCAAACATCATCCAGGCCCCAGACTGGATTCAAACCCAGGATCTTTTCAGTGTATAACAACAGTTCTAACTATCGTACTGTCACTAAATATATTTCGAGCAAAAGTAAAGTCAATCAAACACAAAATTTGCAATGTTTTTATTATATTTGAAAACATATCAGTAAAGATGATTATCTGGTGTGATTATCTGATCATTTATTTCATCATTAGAGAAAAGAAAATGATGTGATAAGTCTTCAGTTTGTCCACTCTGAGCTCATTCTTTGAGCCTTTCCTGTACAGAGTGTTACTAGGTGGTGCATATCCAGACATTTCTCTGAATGAATATGAAGGTGTGGTTCTTTTTCCTGCTGACAATAAATAGTTTGTGAACCAAACCTGGACTTTCCATGTAGCAAAGATCACTGACTTCCTGTTGTTGCACATCAAAAATATTTACACAGACATGCAAATGACACCATACACTGACAACAAAATACATTACAGTAACTACTCACTTCTGTGTTATCTCACGATGCAGATATTTCATGTTTGCTCAATGGCAAATATTTTAAACTACAGCAAATACAGTAGGTGACGATGATGATGATGACCTTTTATTTCTGACATGAAAAAACCCCCCAACAAACCAATATATCCACATACATACAAGTACATCCATATAGATATACACAATTTTATATGAATAAAGCGCTCAAAAAATTGAGTATTTTGTGTCAGCAAAGTGTTACAGCATTTCTGTATTAATATCAATGTGTCACATTATATTTTGTATGCTGTTTGTTAGTACTGACCGTTTTCCTCTACATCAGTACTGTTATTTTCCTATTGGTGTGATAGCACATTTGCTTCTCTCTCTCTCACTTGCTCTCTCTCTCTCTCCCTCATTCTCACTCTGCCTCTCTTTTCTACCACTTCCTCACTACTGTGGCCTATATGCAGTTTGATGCAAGGAAGCGATCAGCTCATATCTACTACAGCGTCAGGCCGAGGGGCCCTTCTCCAGCAACCGGGCACTCTGTGGGATCGTCATGGGAAACTGTGCTTCAGGGTAAGTCATCATACACGCTCATACATTCATTCACACATTCCTATAAGTGGGGACTTTCATATATTACAAAGTTATTCATCAGAATGTGATGTATTCTAAAACACTCCTTTAACTGCTGTAAATGCAGAAAATATATTTAAGGTATTTGTGAATTAACTACAGCGAAAATATTTATAAAAAAAAAAAAAGTTTAAATGAAATGATTGTGCAGTTTTTTACAAGAAGTTTCTACATTTCCTCTAGCAAGGAAACCGTGGTTACGAGATAAAAATAGCCCTGGGTTCTGGTTGTCTTCTTACAAGAACTAAGTCAAATACAAAGAACATATTTTGCTGTTGCGTTACATATTCAATATATTACCGTCTAAAATGGCAAGTCTAGAAATATGCAAAGTGTGATGCCCTCGTTGGTTATTCACTGCCATATTCAGTTGGTTATAAACAGGTGTTGATTGTAGGTCTATGTAAAGTGTTTCCTGTTGCAGCACAAGCGCTTAATTGTTAAAGCTGTCAAGGAAACACTGCTGTTGGCTAAAGCCCACACCTGCTGCCACAGATAATATTTTATATGATTTATTGAGGTGAAAGACATATAAGCTCAATAAGCAGTATTATCCAAAGGCGTTATTCTTCTGTGTGTGCTAACATTGTGGTCCTTGGTAGCTTATCGTTTCAATTTGCTTTATTTTCAGAAAGAAGAAAGAGAAAGGTAAAAGCTATTTTGTATTACTAATTTCTTATTGCTTTTGTGTTACTTTCCCCAGTATAAATGTGATAAATATCATAAACAAAAGAAAAAACTATTATAATTTTATGATTTTTCCACATTTCCTCTTTCAGGGGATTCTGAACCAGATGATAAGACCGCGAATGACAAGGTAGACATCCCCGCATTAATTTTGGTTCTATTTCTGTTGACCATAAATCTTCACCGTTATCAGCTCATGATTTTCATAAGACATGGGTGTGTTCCACTTTGGATTTACATACTTGGAGAAGATTAACATGAGGCTTCTGCCGTAAAACAAACTACACAGGAACCCGCGGCATGTAGACACATTTCAAAATATGCCAGCTGCAGAAACACAGTGTAAAAAGTAGAATAAATTATTTGATGGGCACAATACGGGTAGATGATCACCCATCTCACTCTCTCTCTCTTCCAGCAACCCAACGAAGATGTAACGTATGCTTCTATTAACCACGACAAAGCCAAAGGAGCAAGACATAACAGACCACCGACAAACCAGATCACCGACGACGACTGCGACTATGCTACAGTTAATATTCCTGCAGCACTTCAGCCTCAGTCTGAATCTGAGTGCTCATCTAAAGACGAATGTCCAGATGATTATGTACTTATGGGGTAAACAAACGGAAGTGGAAGCATTCATTCGGTCAAGTGAGTTGCAGAAAATATCTGATGCCGGGTAAAGGCATGCAAGAACTTGTTTGCACTTGAATTGTCACTTTATTTTTTATATTCTTAGTTTAATCAAGAGCAGATCTTGATTATCAAAGAAACTGCCAAAATGAGAAGATTAACAGCCAACAGCAGCTGATTGCGGAAGTATGTACAGTAACCAGAAAGAAGTTTCTCTCCACAATTGAAGAAACGTTTTAACCAGAACATGGTGGTGGTGTTCCTTCCTCAAGAAGACTAACTCGCATTGCAGACGAACCTGCGAGAGATGACACGATTCTCGAGACATCGGGACTTTACTAAAAGATTTGAAAAATCAGAAGAAAGCCAACAAGCTTTCATCAATTCTGGACCTCTCTGAGAAGGGCAATGCATCCAAATCAGGAAATACAGAAGTTTGTGGCATGCAATTACTACTTACAAGTGAATCGATGAAGTCTTAAAGCCACCATGTGTGACATTTTAATGTGAATTTGAAAATGTTCGAAATAGAAGTTTTATTTTGTTGTGTTTCTTTAGCTTTAGGTTAGGTTATGTGATTTATGTTTTGGCCCCAAGTTCCTAAAACATCACAGCACAAATTCAAAACTTGCTCCTCTTTAAAGAGAAGTTTCCCGGAAGAAACTCAGACTTTTTGACCCGTTTGACCTTTTTGAGACTGTTGCCACACCACAACTGAAAGTCTGAGAATGTCCACCACATTCTCAGACATACCTAACATTTTGTTTGCATAGGAAAGTCTAGAACTGGTATTTTGTGGTTTCATAGCGTGCATGTGCAACAATAATGGCAGAACTGTTTGGGGGTTTTTGAGAGACAAATTTGTTGATATGAATGCATCTGCTGTAAGGTGCTGCACAGGAAGGTTTGATCATTATCTAGAGTCTGTTGCTGGTGGTTGGTGCTGAAACAATGCCAACTCTTTGCTCCACCATTAATCAGTTTCACAACGCCCCATATTGAGTTCCCTCAGAAAGCGTTTTCAAACTTAATACTGCCCAAACCTAAAATGCAATCCAAATGTGCAACCAAATACGAAAACAGTTTGTGTAATTTGATCTATTGCCACATTATAAAACGATAGTCCAGACCACACATAGTCAGAAGCATTTCACAGCATGTAAGAAGCACTCCACAGGCCCCAATATACTACAAACACACTGAAAGGCTGAGAAGTTGTTTGTTTGTTTTTTTCTTTGAGAGATGGTTTTTTGTGCCTTTTAGTTTGAATCTGTCTAATCAACAGAATTATTTATACATTTAACTTCATGGCAGAGTACTGTTATTTACCCTATCTGTTCTTATTCTGCTGTATGAATAAACTGCATGTCTGAAAAACTGAAAGAAGAAGAAAAAAATCTTTTCAATTTAAAACGAAAACCAGTTTTGCTATTTGCTTCTGCTTTTAAGAGGAAATCATGTTAATGTGCTAAGTCACTGTAAGAGTTCAAATAGTCAGGCTGTGAAAATAGGGATATATTTGTGAGGCAAATTTTTAGTTCTCTCATTATAATGGAAATACAATTATAGTCACTGCAGCTCTTGCCTCTGATCTACCCTCTATCACTTACTAAAGCTACTGAAAAGAACAAGTGTGAAGCCACTGACATACATGTGTGTATATATATATTTATGTATATGGAGAGAGAGAGACTTTGACTTTTGGTTTAGATCATTGTTAATGAGTATAGTGTTGGTGATCATGTCAGAATTGATGAATGAATGCAGAAATGTGCCATCAGCTTTTAAACCGCCATGCAAAAGCATTTGGAATGAAGCTGAATGGGAAGAGCTTCATTTTTCAGAATGACAATGATCCCAAACACACTGCCAATGGAAAACAGTCGTGGCTTGGCCTCGCCAGAGCCTGGACCTCAACAATATTGATACAGTGTGGGATCATCTTGAAAGAGAACAGGCAGCCAACATCCAAATAAGGGCTTTCAATGTCCTTCAAGAAGTCCGGAGAACTATTCCCAAAGACCAAATAATGGCTTTCAAACTCGGAGGAATAGATTGACTTCTATCAGTGAAATTATTCAGACGCCTTGCATCATTTAATCCTGTAGCAACATAAATTCTATTATTCACCAGTAGAGGGCAGAATAGTTCCTTTTTCTAGTTTCTTTTCTCGGAACTGCATTAGTCACTGTTACTGTACTGAGGTGAGTCTTTACACAGTCACTATGAAAAAAGTGACAATTAGTATTGATTGTATTTTTAGTGCATGCCCTCAAACAATGAAAAAGTCACCTTGGCAGATATCACTGTTAAAATGTTGAGAACAACTGTTTTGACTCTTTTTGGTGTATCTTGCTGAGTTGCTCTGATGCAGCATTACTAATGTTGTTCCTAAGTCTGAAGAATGTAGCTAAAATGAAGTCAGCATTTATACATGCACTTTAATACAAAGAATCATATCATCTCACATTCATACATAACATAAATACTTCACATGGCATTGTCCACATTACCTTGAGACAGCTATGCGATTAAAATGCATGTTTTCGTTGCTTGGTGCTTGTACTGTAGCCACTCCAGCATGATTCTATGTAAGAAATGATCATCTATTTAACTGTTAATGTTTAAATAAGTGTATTTGTACATAATTGTAGCTAATATATTTCATCAGCATTATCAAAAGTCTGTAGTTCTGTAGTCTTACATGCTGCATGTGGCTCAAGAGCCTCCTCATTTCAGCAGTACAGTGCATTTTTTAGTTAATGTTCTCCTTGAGACCCACACAAAGTGGTGGGCAGACATCAGGTACATCCCCCGTTCCATTAGTTAAGTGTTTATTAGGATACATTTAAAGCGAGAAACTTTCCTCTTTCAGAGAAAATCTTTGATCCTTCCCTCTCTTTACTATTTCACCCTTTCTCAGTTTCACAGCCCTCAGTTTCTCACAAAGACTTGTTGCATTTAGGCTGTGATGCATGTGCACGCTCTTTTTTCTTTTTCTTTTGTCATTGTGAACATATCTGCAGATCAGTTATAGATAGAGTTCACACGTTGAACATAGCTAGCATAGGGCTCCACTTCCTCCACATCCTCTATCTACAAAAAAAAGAAAAAAAAAGAAAAGACAAAAGAGATAGAACAGAGGGAGGCGTCTTTAACAAAACATGACAAAGTGCAGTCAACAACCAGAACTATAAAATACAGGCAGTTTTACCTACCGGTGGGGATTTGGAGGAGGAGGTATCTGACTGTTGGTGTTGCCTGGCAAAAGTTACACAAACATGTTCAGTAACCTGGACACTCTCAGAACACAAGTTATTATTTTGATTCAATTTCTGTTAAATTAAACCTGTTACCTCAGCTTCATGACCAAAAAAAATAAGAGTCCCACTAAAAATGCAATTATTATCCCAGCTATGAGTGCATACAGCCAGAGAGAATAAACTGTAGGGAGACAAATGAAATGTTTGTTAATACCTTAAATGCACATGGTTGTGTAACTTTTGTGCATCAGTTTGTAGAAGCCTGACCTTTAACTGTTTGATATTCCAAAAATACAATCTTGTTCAGGTTCTGGTGACTGATGGTGCAGCTCAGGTTTTCTGGATCTATGCCTTCAGGAAGCTCCAAACGACTTTCTACTGTAAAAAGTCCATTTATCCCAGGCAGTTGTTGCACAGAAGAATTTCGTGCATGATTCCAGCTGATGTTGGCTGCAGGATTTCCATTTTCAGCTCTACATACTGCTACCCTTGTGTTGTCTTTGTACTCTATCCAGGCTTTTATTTCAGGAGTCACTAAATCAAAACAGACAAAAAAAAGAAACAACGACAAAAACAAATCGTTTAAGCTTGCTTTATTAGAAGTTTCACCACACCACAAAATAGGATTTGCATGGCATGGTGTGCTCTATTTTCATTTTTCTTTGTTTTTCATTTTCAGATCAAATATCTAAATGTGCTAAATGAAGAATGTTAACAATGAAGTCAGTGATCCATTGAGAGCAGAGTTGTCAAAAATGAGGCCCGGGAGCCAGAATTGGCCAACCGCTCCCATTGGATAATTGAATGAAAATAAGTGTATATTCATTCAAGGTTTAGATTTTTTCCAAGTGATAAGGGACCTCCCCTATTGTATTTCATACTACACCAACGTAATTAAGTAACAGGTAAACAATAACAATTAAATTGGAGGAAAAGCCTGTTTTTCACGATCTATTATATAAATTTCAGATGTCTTTTATCTGCTGCAGCAGCATTTGAATGTTTCATGACATGCTGCTGAAACCGCACTTCTGTTTCTTAGATTAAATGTGCAGTTAAAATTCTTTACGCTCACAGAGAGAGGCATTTTCCTGATTCAGAGGACTTCAGATCAAAGTGCTGCATGTGGCCCGCGATGTTAAATGAGTTCCACATCCCAGCTCTAGAGGACAATGTGTTTGTGTCCAAAAAAGGCAAACTGAAGATCATTTTTTAAAAATGTGCCACCGAAAAGACTTTGCAGAGCAACATAAATGCATATCCATTTTACTCCTTTATGAGGTATAAGCTGAATGGTAGAAGGCTGATATTTCAAATATCTGTATTCTTATATATCAATAGAGGTACCAAGGTGTGTGACTAATGTTATAACAGAAGTCCTACCTGTGATATTCACGTGGATTTCACAATTGGTAGCTCCTCCTCTGTAAGCAAACTCACACGTGTAGATTCCCACATCATCTTCTGAGAACTTTGGGATGTGTAGATATGGCTGAGAATTGGATGTGTTTCGGAGTGACTTTCCATCATTGCAGGTGTCTGAGTTTCGACCATAACTGTCAAAGTTGATCTCACAACGGGTTTTGTCAATCAATTTAATTTTCCAGATAACATAAAATGTCTCATTCCACATCTTATCGGTGCATGTCAGATTAGCATCACTCCCATTACTGAAAAGTTCATTTCTGCGTTCTGGAAAAAAAAAAGGAAGTGTGAATGCATCTTACATATCGTTCATATTAAATCATTTGGGTTTTTTGTGTGACAAAATAATAGATTTGCTAGTATATACAAAAAAGGCAGACAAGCAAAGAAAAAATAGAAAGTATTTGTTTATGTTATGCATATGTTAAATATATTTACTTAAAGAATAAAGCTGCAGCATCAAACACAGATAGAAAATAAATCATAACATTGTTTATTTTTTGTAATAATTTTTAAGATTTGTCTAATTAGCACTACAAAAAAATGTTTTATATATTACAAAAAAAAATTATTTTTTTTAAAAAAGGAAAATAAAAAAGGAAGAGGGGAAAAAGAACGAAAAGCGGTAATGAATCAGACAAAGACTAATAAATAGCACCTTTCTTATTCAACAAGTACTGAAGTGCTTTAAAGCACTTTTTCTTTCGCTTTAATACATTTTAAGTAAAGAAGGTTGTGCAATGGTTGAAACACAATAAGCAGTAGAAAAGGAATTAAACATAATGTACTGACATTTTCACATTTTGCTAGTCACACTTTCTCACTTCATATTTTACTCATAGTGAACAGTAGCAGTATAGAAACACGGGGAAAGACTGTTACCAGTGATAGGAGGAAAAGTGGTGTTCACAGGGGCACTTTCAGTAGTTCCTGAGAGAGACGAAGGTGAATTAAGGAAAAAGTTAGTAGAATGTTTCAGTAATTAAAGTAGCAACAAAATATTCATTTCGAAGTGCTCAGTCAGCAGAGCAGCAGCGATGGTCGTCTGTTAGTTGAAGTTTAATCGGTTAAGATGTAACATGAATTGAATGGCCATGCAGGAGAGTTAAACAACAAAGAGCTGTGAGACAAACTGCACTTTTTTAAGCTTTTGAAAAAAACAAACAAACATGATAGTCACCGAATGTGGGGCGATAAAATGTCACAGTTAAAGTTCAGCTCCTTATAAAGCCGACAAAGGTTAATCACAATCTTCCACGTTACCCAGAAGCCAGAGACACAGTCGGTATTTCATATAAGTGAAACGGAAAATTCAAGGTGGATGTGTTCAGTGAGTTGTTTACATCTGACAGGTGTAAAACCAAGACCACGCAGAAAGTGAGTGAACAAAACCACAACTCTAAAACAGAGACCCCCTTACAATGCAGAAAGAGCTGCATCATAGTTTTACCCAGATGTGAAATCAAGATTTCCAGGGTAGTACCAGGCAGTTTGATCATTCAGAAAAGACGGGGCTGACTTCTGTTATGGAACACCTTTTCCCCCTGCCAGTTTCTGCTCTGGCCCACTGTCATGCATAGTCTTTCCACACACTGTCTACGCTGTGAATCAGAATACAACCATTTCACTGAAATCTCAGGAGGCCCACAACCACTTACAGTTTACAACTCACCCACTTCATAGAAATGAGCCACAAATCTAACACTAATTACCTCTGTTATTATGCATGCTACACATATTTGACACTAAAATACATTCGCAGAGTATAATGACACAAAAAAGGTAAAAAATAAATAAATTTTCAAGGTTTAAAAATGTCTCACTTGTGTCGTAAACCACATGAATCCGCATGGAGTTTGTCACTATGTATTACATTTGTGAAGGTTGCTCACTCTTAAGAAAATGTAAGTAGTGAAAGCTGAAAAACAAATGCAAGAAAAATGAGTTAACATGTCAAACCTGATTCCACGCTCTGTGTTTCAGACAAGAACAGGATCACGACATAAATCCACATAGTCTCTCTCATCGTTGCGTGTCTTCGAGTGCTCCTCTGTAAACTTGCTGCTCACACCGTAAAACCTCAAGTATGGCCTGACATAAACCGTCAGTGCTAGACTCTCTAAAGTAACATCAAACCAAGATGCATTTTCTTTCTCCTCCGTTATCTTGCCATTTCATTTCCTTACTATTCCCAACAAGCTCTGGATTTAAGTGAAGCATGTCCTCCAACAAAGACTTCAGACAAACCTGAAGTCTTTTGTGACACAGTAATATATACATCGTGTGACTAACAAATCCCTCCCTTCTTCTTTCTCATCCCCTCTCTCCAAACCGCTTTCCACTGAGACATCTTGCCTTTTTCTCCCACACAGGATGACGTTTGATAAGTCAAGACACCCATTTCCTCTCTTGCCAGACACATAGCTGTGCTCTCTAAAGTAGTATGTAGTAAAGCAGTGTGCGTGAACACACACATAAAAAATAGAGCAACGTTATGAAATTCTTTCAACGTTCGTCTCCACGTTCGTAATCACAGGTGATGATTCATCACGAGCTTACTGGTCCTTTCTTGTGACATAAACAAAGCATTCTATGTATTTCTGCTTAGTTCAGCTTAGTTTAATCAGTATTTCGAAAGATTTGATGAGAGAAATGATTTCTGCTGAGTAGGACAAATGTTAGTCTTGCTGTGGTCTCATATTTGCTGGTGTAAGAACATTCTGCTGTATAAGACTCGTGCTATGCATGCTTGCCTACATGCAGCATTAATGTGGGTGCAGGTGTTATTACTGACTCCATCTCCAGTTTGCACATTGCACACATTAACTGAAAACAAATGGTGCAATCATTCTGCTTGTATGCGGTTAAGGTCTCCAAGCCGTATGCGGAGTTTGTGGTTCACAAATACATCTTGCAATGAGAAATCTTGATATTAGCTGTCCCATATAAGTTCAGATAGGGCAGATGAGCAACGATAGCTCAGCTTATCCTTCTCTTGTGGGTATTCTAAGTGTGACCAACTGTGAAAGCTGAAACAAAAGGCAAAAACGGTGAAAAAAATATAAACTCATACATCACATACCTTGACCAGCCAGAGTTTGATTCATCCTTTCCTAATTTCGTCTTGGGCTGGGACCTTGAAAAAAGAGGGGTATTTAAATGAATAACTGCCGTTCTCCTTTTTCTTGGATCTAATATTAGACCATGTTTATTTCATGTATAGACAGAAATTCAGCTGACTATGAGTTGGCACACATGGGACAAGGAACTAGTTCTTCCAAAAAATAGCAATTTCTTCATCTGTGAACTATTGTTGCTTCAGTCAGCAGTATTGCACACATATCCCAAAAAAGGAGCGAAAAAAACAACAAGAGCTTATGTTTTGGGCTTTAACGATAAGAAGCACAGACTGTGCATGTGTCTATGCATGCGTGCATACACTGCTTCCCTTTGATAAGTGACTTCCTGTTGATGTCAAAATCATGCTTTTTGGCTACCCAAAAATATAACTCGGAGGGTAAGAAAAAAACCAGAAGTTGTCAGACAATTTTGGTCTGCTCCACGTAATTCTTTTTGTTTTGTTTTTTTCTTCTTCTTCAGTTATTTTTCTGAGGTTTCAGTTTAAGAAGTTTACGTCAGTATTAGCAAAATTGCCTGGAAAGTTTAGGGGTTCAGAAAAAAATAATTTTATATACAATGCCATGCTGTGTCATCCCTGAGAGCCTGAAGCCTTGTATCTACCCTAATAACGAAACCTTAGTGCAGTAACACGTACCATTTGCTTGTTGTGAAGTCCCCCTGCCTTTAGTTTGGTCAGCTGAAAAGCTGCTGGTTGCTTTTATTACATTTTTCAGTTCAGTATGACACAAAGTAAAGAGATTTGAAACATTAAATTTAATAGAAGAGTACGGCATGCTGCTGATACCTCTGTGTTCACTGAATGGTCCAGTAAAATCCTGAGTGAAGGTCAGTGTGCCAGTGCCTCGTTCATATTTAAAAAGAAAGGCAACATGCTTCAAATTCCAGCATTTTTTAATTGTTTTTTTCTTCTTTTTACATGAAGTGAATCCTCTTGATCGCTGATACAGTACATAGAGCTTTTTCGATTTGCTGTGACTGTGTAGTCATACAGAGAATTTTCATCAGCATGGAAATCATTTTCTGGTCATCCGGTATATGTAGATGGGGATCAGATCACTCTTGTTTTTCATTTTCTTGTGTGCTACTACTTCTTGCTACAAACACAGCTATTAAATCAGCTAAGTATTAACTATGTTGTTTATCTGACAGAACATAGAGGGTGTTTTTCTTTGGGTTTATTTTAGCTATATTATTTCCACTTCTTGTAGGGTCACCTTTTTCAGTCTTCACACTGTCAGACAACTCCACCCTAGTCTAAATGGAAACTTTTATCATCTCTGACTCATACGTGAGGTCGTTTGTGCATGTAGATGTTAAAATGTCCTAAGTAACAAGCTGACACGTTACTTTTGAATTCTTGCATTTTTGCCGTTATGGAATAAAAACAGTTACATTTCATGACCAGTTATATTCTATATTCCTTTCACATTGATGTAACTCTGGCGCCATACATATATATTTTTCTCTATGTTGTAGATATATTTTGATTAGATTACTAGGCTTTTGTGGTAATTACATTTTTAGGAACTACGTTTTCACTCCTCCTTCCTTCTACTAATTCTTAAAGACTGCTGTCCTAAATTTTACAGTTGTTGCTGTCTTACTTAGGTTTTTTTTTTTTTTTAATAAAAAGAGGTCAAATTCGTAACCTTTTATATCCTGCATTGTTTGTATATTGATGTACTGTTTGTGTATATGTATTTTTGCTTTATTGTATATTTTTGATTATATTACTGCATTTTGTAGCATTTTTTTACTTTGTTTCTTTCTTTTGTTTAAAAATAAAATACAATTATTAATGTGCACACTTACTTTAATTTGTTGATAAAGTTGATTCTTAAAGTCTTAAAGTCTTTGCTGTCTTATATGAACTGATACTAGGAAAAAAAATCCTGACCTACTTAAGGAGTTTAACTTCTGTGATGTGCCCACGGCCTAAGGCATAATCATTTTAGCAGACACAGCAGATTTTGTATGTAGGTAGTTTATATGTAGGTTGTGACGTTTGTGGTACTGTAGGCTGGTAAAAAGTACAAAAATTCATTGTAGCAAATTTGAAAGTTATTCAACTATCCTGCTAATTAAAATTAATAATATAACCCTTCATTATTTATTATTACTAGGGATGAAAAAGAAGAGACATAAAAAAACGATCACCGGTGGAAAAGTAGACCCTGAATCCTCTCCTAGATGAAATCACGAAGGAAGAAACGTCCTTTAAATCTTAAATGATGACATGTGGAGTTAAATTAATATTATACTATCACATTTTGATAAAAACCCAAAGTATGTTGTCCAAGAATTACTTCCAACTTCCACCCGGTGAGAGTAAACAGAAAGCTCGAGATTAATCCTCCCACTTCCGGACGGTCAGTTTATTGTCTCCATGACTACAGTGTCAAAACGACGTCGTTGAAGCGGCCGTCCGCATGTAAAATTAGCTGTAAAAATACTCAACTGTTTGACTAAATACAGAAAATGTGCGCATCTGTGACTAACACGTTTACCAAGCAGAATGATGCTGGTACAGCTGTTTTGCATGAACGGGCTTATGACTACTTGTACGGTGAGTAAGCTTTGAACTAACTAGCACAGCTAACGAACACACCAATGAGCACGGCTAATAGCTGAACTTAGCTGCTTCGGTTGCCATCACCTGAACTGTTCCTCCACAGATCCGGTTCACACAGTGTCATCGGAGGCAGACCACACCAAGGCCAGTTTCAAGGCCTTTGCGTCCAGGTCTCGAATAGTAAGTCGTATCTATACTTTATTTCAAATTTATTACATTTTAAATAAAAGATAAGTTGATTTAAAATGCTGTCATTATTATATTATTGTTTATTTAAATTTTAATTTAAACCTGTAGTATACAGAGCATTTATCTTGTATTGTAATAATGTATATTTTCTTCCACCTTTTGAATATAATATAGAGGGGCTTTTTTTGTCTCTTTTGTTTTACTAAAAATTAAATGTGAAATGCACTCTTTAACATTGTTTCCGTCTTCTTCGCTCAGAGGAGAATACCAGAGTTTGCATCCATGTTTAGTGACAACCCACGCTATACTGTTAAAGTAGACCCTGCAGTCCCGCAGCCGGCCTTTACTGATCTTCAGTGGCGAGGCCACACAGAACAGCGCAAAGAGGCCCTGCAGCAGCTGGCTGGGTAACACAACATGCACATGAAGCTTTAGTTACTAAGTTGCTTCATTTTAAGATGTAGTCTTTCTCTCATTACAGACAAAATAAATAAAATAAATAAAGTAATGTTTTAATGTCTCTATTATATATTATAAATGATAAAATATGTATATATTACATCTTGATTATCTTCTTGACAGGATTTCTCCAAACACTCAAACATGGCTGAAAACCAAGGAGTGCCATGTAACCGGAGCAGATTTCTGCAAATACTTTAAACGGTTTGACTAGCCAGTTGAGAATCTGATTGTTTGTTCTGTTTTTCCTAACACAACAAACTAAAGATAACTGCCATACTGCCCCACTTATGTAGATGTCAGTATAGTCTATGACATAGTATTTCACTTTGTTCCCTTTAGCCCTCTCATTCCCTTTGGGCAGCAGATACCTCCTAGTGTGATTTATGCTTTGCAAAGGTGAGGTTCTTTGCATTACTTTGTTGTGCAGCTGTTTCTGCTGTGCTATTTTTTCTGGAAGTATGTCTGTTTTTTGTGTCACCTTAGAGAAGACTTTATAACGTCTGATGCTGAGCAAAAACCCACCCACTTCACTGTTGGGGTCCAGACAGACTACAGGGAAAGTGAAACACAGACAGACCCATACAGCCCCGAGTATGTGATTCAGCCCGGGACTACTCCCTCAGAGCTCCTGCAGATGGCAGCTTTGACTTGGGGTATAGGCATGCTTATTGTGTTCTTTATCTGTTATATGAACCGTGATGGTACACTCATAAGCAACTTTATTAGATCTTGGCAGTATAATTATCTTGCTCTCTTCTCTCCATCCTATTTTTTTTATTTTTTTTTACTTACTAAACATAATTTATAATGCATCTGTGCTGGCTAACCTGTGCATAAGAAACTCACTGAAAAACAAATTGTTGCAAAAACAAATAGTTAACATCAACAGGTTCATCATCCACAAGTCACAGTTAGTACAGGAAGAAAGTACAAGTAAAATACATACAACCCACACTGATCTTGAGTGGGAGGGATAACTGAAACTCCACTTTCTATTAGTGTAAAGACGTTTAACTGCACATTAGATCACTGAAATATCTTAATATAAGATGAAGAAGTTCAATTTCAACAGCATGTCTCAGTTTTTCTAAATGATAAATGTGGAAATTACAGAAAGAAAAATTCTGGAAGCTCACTTCCCACACTGCCCTGTATTTATAAAACAAGATAAAGATTTTGTTCATTGATTAATGAACAAAATATTTTTAAACTAAAATTTATATAGTGGACAGTAAAAAAAGAAACATTTCTGTCATTTAATTGTTAATTTGATAGATTACTTGGTTACTTGATTACTTAGGTGTACATGAATGAAAATACCCTTAAAAGTCCCAAAATTGATGCACTCCTTCATATTTTCCAAAGCGGGCTGGATTGGATCTTTGCCAGGCCAATATCGGCCCCCGGGCCTTATATTTGACACCCCTATCATAAGGCACATGCATAAATAAAGTTGAGCTTTGCTTCACAAGATAGAACCATGCCTTAAACATATTCGTGGAACCTTTTGCAGTCTGTCTGCTTTACCATAACACTGCTAACATTTGTCACTGCACGATTGATCAATATGCCTATAAGTGACTATATCATATTTTTAAACTGAGAAATTTTATTGTCTCAGTTCTCAAGTTTGTGCCTTGGGTCCAGAGTGCCTTATCCCCACAAATTCCCCCGACAAATGTAATTGGTGCAGTTTGTTTGTCTGTCTGCTGTAAATGTTTGTTATCAAGCATCCACAGTTCATCACTGCTAGTGCCCAAGGTCAAAGCTGAGCTTGGAAAAAAATTAAAGAAGCCGTATCTAGTAATATATCATGTAAAAGGGTTTGGAGAGAACTGTACAATGCACTTCTTCATTTTTCAATACGATGGCCTACGACATCACAACTAGTTTCACAAGATCTCACATTGCATGAATATATCTTAAATCTTAAGACATTTCTGCTACAATCATATGGGTAAAGATAATAAAATACACAAGTTTTGCATATAATGCTTCAAGGTCAAAGGTCAGGGTCACATAAATTGGGTCATAAACATGCTCTTTAAAACATTATTTTTTCATTACATTATATGACTTCCCAATGTCACAAAAAGATGAACGTCCTACACTAGATTTCCATATTAACAATACTGACATCAGCATAAAGTATCAGTGTTAGTATAGCCCAGGGGTCGGCAACCTGTGGCTCCGGAGCCGCATGCGGCTCTTTTGTCCTTATACTGCGGCTCCGGGTGGTTTGAGAAAATAAATTAGAAGTATTTAGCTGAAGTGCATTTTATTTGTGTTTAGTTCTTTTTTTAACTTGTAGTTCTAAATTGGAAGATTATTGTGATTTTGAAATATGAAAATAAAATTATATCTTATTATTTTTTCATCGCTCAAAATAAGCGTCACACTCGCGGAAGCCGGTATACCCGCCGAAACGCCGTGCATTTATCGAGACTTTCAAACCCAGGTAGGCCAGTTATGGATCTTCGGATCCACATTATGTCGGCAGCTGTTCTCCACCGTGAACTATGTTAAAAACAAACACCGCTCACGCCTCACAGATGAAAGCTTACAGTCCTGCGTAAAGATGAAAGCCCCGATTTGCAGACGCTGTGCGCAGAGGTTCGGGACCATAAGTCTTATTGTAAACATATCACGGCAGACCCGACGATGTTTCCATGAACATGCTTTTCAGCATCTCTTTATTGACCACTTTTCACACACGGTTGCTGTACGCATACAGCCGGCTGTAGCTTTTCAGCTCACAGCCCGACAACACAACAGCAGAGAGAGCACAGACTTTAAGGCGGCGAGGCGTGATTGCGGGTGCCGCTCAGGTGTGTCCGACTCCCCTGCAGCGGCGCTGCAGACCACGCCCCGCCACACACATTAACCTGGTAAAATACATATTTAGGCAGAATTTTGCAAATATCTTTTTTTTTTTTAGCAGCATTGTGCTTTTTTTCCAATTACTTTTTAAAAGTCAGGCCAAGGCTTCAAAAGTCCAAAGGTGATATAAGGGTGGCGGATCACAACAGTTTTTGTTTGCTACATGGATCATTTTAGTTCAGTTGGGTGTTTTTCCTTTTGTTATATTTCTTTAAGAGTTCAAAATGTGTTAATTACATAAATAAAATGTAATTTTCTCTGTAGCACTTCATGGATTTCATAAGCAACACACCTTAGTTGCTCTGTGGATTCTTTTAAAAAGCAGTTAAAAACTTTTCTGTTCAAACAAGCCTTTTGTTGATCTACGTATTTTATATTCTTTACATTCTTTACATTTGATCTTTTACATTGTGTATAATGTCTATTGATTGTATTGTTTATTTTAATATTTGTGTACAGCACTTTGTGACTGCCTGTCTGTGAAAAGCGCTTAATAAATAAACTTTACTTACTTACTTTAGTTGTTCACACAAAGCATAAAGGTAAAAAAAACAATATCCATCCATCCATCTTCATCCGCGTTATCCGAGGCCGGGTCGCGGGGGCAGCAGCCTAAGCAAAGAGGCCCAGACCTCCCTCTCCCCAGCCACCTCCTCCAGCTTATCCGGGGGAATACCAAGGCGTTCCCAGGCCAGCCGAGAGATATAATCTCTCCAGCGTGTCCTGGGTCTGCCCCGGGGCCTCCTCCCGGTGGGACATGCCTGGAACACCTCACCCAGGAGGTGCCCAGGGGGCATCCTTGTCAGATGCCCAAACCACCTCAGCTGGCTCCTTTCGATGTGGAGCAGCAGCTGCTCTACTCTGAGCCCCTCCCGGATGGCCGAACTTCTCACCCTATGGCTAAGGGAGAGGCCAGCCACCCTTCGGAGGAAGCGCATTTCTGCCGCTTGTATCTGCGATCACTACCCACAGCTCGTGGCCATAGGTGAGGGTAGGACGTAGATCGACCGGTAAATTGAGAGCTTCGCTTTTACACTCAGCTCCCTCTTCACCACGACGGTGAAGAGGGAGCAATATATACAGTGTTATCTTCATTTTAGATTTCAAAAAGTATTTGAGGCTCCCAGTGTTTTCTTTTGCGTGGAAACCGGGTCCAAGTGGGTCTTTGGGTGTAAAAGGTTGCTGACCCCTGGTATAGCCCTTGCCATGTTGGGGACGTTGCACTCTCTGACTCCTCTTATTCTTAAATTGTTGCTTGGACTGTTTACATAACCTGTCACGTTACTGGTTAGCTCAGTTGTGTGATGGTACTAAAGGGATTTTTTAAATAATTTAAATCTTTTTTAAGTGTGTTAGTTGTCCCAGCTATTTTAAAATGTTTTTCTAGTATCAAGTTATAAAGTAAGATACTTTTTTAAGTATGAAGTGTCTCAGTGTCAATGCTTGATATTTTATCTTTTACTACACTTAGCACAAATAGTACAAGTAGTTTGGTTGATTATTTCTTAGTTGTGGCAGTGCTTCATGGCAATACCTCTTACACAGTTAAAGCCTGTTTATTTCCCTTAAATGTTGCCACGTTTGTAAGGAAAATGGATTTCTAGGTTAAGTAGCAGATTTGACTATGTGGGTTGCTCGCTTGAAAAATTTTCCAAATTGACTCTGCCTATGGCGAGCAGCTTATTCTGCTACTGACTCAGTAGCACATGGGAAAATGTGTCTGTGTGGGCTCTCAGGTCATGGTACTCCAAGGAGCTTGAAAGGAAAGCGACTAGACATCTTTCATGAAGACGTTTCACCTCTCATCCAAGAGGCTTCTTCAGTTCTAAAACTAAAAGGTTTCGTATTGTGTCACTTTGTACGTTCCTCACAATTTCCCATCATTACCCCCTCCCCTTCGCTGCACCCCTGCACTGTTCTGTTTTTAATGGCCCCCGTATGGCCACCCTTATGAAAAAATTCTTGAGGTGCCCCTGGTCACAGGTACTGAAAGCCTAGTGGGGATTGTCCCTTAAGAGCATAATGTGTGTCATCACATGAGCCCGAGGTGTGATAAAAGGCATGTGATGTTACCCCCAGAGGTTTCTGATGAAAACACCGTAAGAACTTGTCTCACCCTATCATGTGACCTATTGAGGTCAGCTGACGCAATATATGAGTGGGGGTTGAGGCGTCTGGGAAGCCACTCCCTCTGTTCAATGATGGTTGTTCACAGTAGATGGCCTCTTTTACTGCTCTTTCAAACAATCTATGTTCTCAGTCCAAAATGTGAACATTGGCATCCTTGAAAGAGTGACCTTTACCTTTTAGGTGCAGATGTACAGCCCAGTGTTGTCCTTTCGAGGTGGCTCTTCTATGTTGTTTCTTGCTTTTATTTATTGAGTAGCCTCCTAACAACAGCTTTAACTTTTTTTTGTCATTTCCTGCATCTTTGGCACTAGAAGAAGCCGCCCAAACACATGAGATATCATGAGATATCATTGGAAAGACCAGGATGTCCTCTACTGAGCACATGAGGACTTCGTAGGGTAGCTCAAATTAGTCAAAAGACACAGACCACAAACAAATGTCGTGACAGAGAACATAAATGAATAGGGTGGGTCTCAGGAGACTAGAGGTCCACCTGTTCCTCACTCCATTGCACAGCATACACTTTATTGCTTAGCTTGTGTTTACGAGTTTTGTCCTTGGGATGAACCAGTTTTTGTCTGAGGGTGTGTCTGGGTTTGCAGTTCACTGGGATGTCATGCTTGGAGAAGATTCCTCTTTCTTACAAAAAATGCAAATTTTCCTTACTTTTGCGTCAAGTTTATTTTTAGGCAAATATGGGCTATGATTGCAATCTGTATATATTTACATTTTAAGCTGTGTTGCTTTTTTGTGACAGGGTTGCATACGGTAATTAGTTTTTTTTCTGAATGAAAATTCCTCAGGTCACGGTCTGCCTGCAGGCCTTGCAGAAGTGGAAATGATACAGCGTGCCCGTGCCAAGCGAGCTTGGGAGGCCAGTCTTCCTCCACTGAGTGACCTGAGCCAGCTCGACAAGAGGAGGCGTTTAATGGAAGAGATGGAGGCCAAAGAGTGGGCTTTCAGAGAAGGCGAAATCGAGAAGTGAGTGATAATGCACCTGAAATGCTAATCTAACTGGAAAACACACTAATAGGGATGCAACCTACTGCTTAAAGTGATGGTGATGCACTGTTTGGCACAGATTTAAACTTCATCGTGCATTGATTGCATCACACCTTCATTGTTTCAGTTCACTCCTGTCACTCTGATAAGGAGCAGTTGTGTTTTGTGTTTTTATCGTACATTTTCTCTGCTAGGTTGCAAGAGGCTCGTTTAGAGGTGCTAAAGGACCTTCTGAGGCAGAGAGATGAGGCTCAGAAAGATGTCACAAATGACAGACTGAACCAGATATATTCTAAGCACCAGGAAGACAGGGAGACCAAGCTAAACAAAATACACGCTGACTACAACAGGTGTAAGACGTCCAGCCCTCTAATGTTAAGTATATTATTTAATATCTAATCTCACTCCTTGGCAACTGCCTCTGTTTTTCTTTTCTTATTTTTGTCTGCAGCACTGAGAAAATTAGAAGCTAAGAGGAAAAATGTGGAGGGGAAGCTAGAACGGTGCGTCACAGCCTCTCAGACGTATGTCCCCAGGATCCGCATTGGCATTTTTCCCAACAGGAACATCAACAGCATGCTGTCAACAAGACGCTACTTAGACACATATGAAGGTTTGAATCTGAATGCTGTTGCAGAAGTAAAAATTTAGTATGTAATTTCCAGTATAACACACACAGATAATTTCATAAATTCATTGTTAAGATCATTTTTAATTCTTTGTTAGGTTTAGAAGAACTAGAGGCGCAACTCAGTGCTTCAGTACTGAAGTCAAAGAGAGAAAGAACAAAACCCAAAGTCTCCGAGGATGTGATGAAGCCTCCTGAGAGCAGAGCTGTGCAGTTGCTGAAGAAATACAAGGTAAGGCAGAACAGAAAATATAGATGTTCATTAAAGTGGATCTACGTTGCTCAGGTCCAATGCAATATTTATTACTACTGGAGTAGTTTTGAATAATTGACAGTTTAAAATAACTCTTACTTATCATAAGCTGGGCTCTGGCGATTCACCCACTGAAACAAGCTGAAGTCAACACTTCTGATTGGCTATCTCATGGAGACACAAGGTTTGAACTGCAGGTCAATGGTGCTTCTGTGCACCTGTTATGACCACAGTAAAGATCTCTGCTCTCATTAAGATCAGGCAGAGCCAAGAGCAGAAGAAATTGTGAGAGACCAGGCAGGAATCTGAAGCCTGAGCTTTTGGCTCATGTATATACAGCAACGTCATTATTTGACATTTTAGCCATTTTGTTTGATGCAAGATCCACTTGAAGTATATCTTTGAAGTTTTAGATACATACATACTGGCACTTCTGGCTCCACAGAATCTGAAGCAGAAGCAGGATGACCACGCATCTTTGAGGACTTTACGTTTTCTTCTCAGAAAGGAGACGCCTGTTCCTCATCCTGTCACTCCCACAGTGGAAACACCACCTGAGGTCAGTTAATTATTCTGACTGTTACTGAGACTTCCTTTGTAAATATTACATTTATTGTATTAATATTTCTCTATTTTTTAGGGGGAAGAAGAGAAAGAACTTGCTGTAATCTTCTTGCAGAAACTATTGCGAGGACGAAGGATCCAGTATGAGGTCCACCTATGTTTCATTCCTACATAAATGTTTCAGTCTTGCTCAGTTTTTGAGCACTTATCTTTTTACTTTTATCTCTGCTGTTCTAAAGATGTTTAAGGGCAAGGAGAAACATCAGGATCTCATCCAGGAACTGAGGACTGTCCATGCCCTGAAGAGGGAAGAGCAGGAGCTACAGAAGGCAGACAAAGAGCACGTCATGATGCTGAATAAACAAAGAGACAAACGCAGACTTGAGGTGAAACACACGGACCTGACCACGTGGACAAAAATGTACTAAATCCAAACAACCTTTATACCCGTTCTCTCCATCTTTTCAGATTTTTCAACAGGAAGCGCATCAAGCCGGAGTAGTAGGAGCGGAACTAGAACGAGTGTTTGACACATTGTCCAAGGAGCTGATTCGTCTCCAGGATGAGCGAAGGATCCACGCCTTTACACTGCTGGCTGAGAGAGACCGTCGGATGCAAGAGGCCGAGGAGAGCGGAAGGAGGCAGGTAGAGGAGCGAAGACGCAAAGAGGAAGACGAGATCTTCAGAGAAGTATGTGCACATGTCATTGTTCTGTTGTAAAAGGGTAACAGAGATCAGTAACAATGAGGTAACAAAGCATTTGCAGTCAGAGCACCAACTCTTTGGAACAAGCTGAGTCACTGAGCTCTAAATCGCTTCTTAAAACGTACTTATTTTTCTATTTTTTTTGTCAATTATTGTACTTATTATTACCATTTTAAGGTGTGTGAGTTTGTGGGTTCCCTTCACTTCTTGTCACAGGTGGTACAGGTACATCAGGAGACTGTGGACATGTATTTAGAAGACATCATCTTGGGGACTATTGAGCACACAGCCGACCAGCAGGCGCGGGAGGAGATCCACAAGAGAGCAAAGGAGGTCAACGACATCGCATATGCCGTTGAGGAAAGGTAACAAGCACCTTCGAATATCTGTCGCTGCTTGGTGTTAAGGAATTGTAACACTAACAAACATCGCTTTTGTGTGCGAGTAGCCGGGATAATCTTCAGTCGGAGGAGATTGTGTCTGAGCTGGTGTACAGCTTCCTTATCCCGGAGGTAAAGAAGATCGGTGTCAGGGAAAGAGGTTTGTAGCAAGAATTAGAAACACACGAAAATGCATTAAATGACTTACTAGTAAAAGATAAATGCCCCTTGTTTTTAAAATAGAAATTAAAATGACTTATTGGAGTGTTGATGGAGTGATTAAGTTAAAGGTAAATCCTTTCCTAATTTTTTCTGACCTTGCATTTTCAGTGCACCAGAAGCAGCATAGACACTTACAGGCAGCTCGGAACATCATTCAAGGGACTTCAAATGCTCCTGAGCTCCTGAACAGTACTCTGGAAGCGTCAAAATGTACCTGTCCTGGTATAAAAGCGTCCTGTCAAGTCCTGGAAGAGACAATGAGCCAGCCGCTGCAGGGGAAGGAAGCAGAGCAGCACGATGCTCAAACTGAGTAAAAGAGAGGACTAGAATATTAAAAGTGTTCTGCATTGCAATCTATAATGTCTAAAAGTTGTTGTGATATTATTAAAGTGATGGTTTAATAATCATTCTGGGTTGTTTTTTTTTACTCTAAGCAGTAATTAATTTAATTTAATTTGACATGAAATGTTTGAAGAAGTCTTTCTGCTTTTACTCCACCACGTTTTGGGAACAAATGTTGTGTTTTATGCAGTAGATGATGTATTTGAACCCTTTGAAGCATAGGCATGAATTAATTGCCAGAAATTATATATTTTATTTATTTATTTTGAAAAAGGGGATTATTGAACCTTGTGATGAATTTAAAAAAAAATCTTTATTATTGTAGGTGTTTTAATTTATGTCATATTTGCTACATCTGTTTTTTTAATTTATTTATATTTAGCTATGTATTTCTTTAAAATGCATTGTGCAATTTATTTCAGTTTTTGAGGGGAAAATCACTCTGATGACGACGAAGCCTCAAAAACTAATTCAAACGTGATAATCCAGTGTTTGTTTTTTGTTTGTTTTTGATTGATTGGATTATTACAGATTAAGATACCCAGCAACACACAAGCAATTAAAATAATCGCAGCTCAACATTAAATGGTGCCATTTTCCATAATGACTTTTGGTACTTATTATATATTTTGATTTTACAACGTGCTGCATGAAGACTCTTAAACAGGATTATAACTTACATTAAAAGTTCTTTTTTTTCCACGTTTCCACAATTATTCAACGAAAAATTATGTTTCATCACTTTTGCAAGAAAATCGTGTCCTTTTTTTCTGTGCTGATTAAATATTTGGATTCGTCCTGTGTCGCTCCATCCTGGAAACGCCCCTGCGTCTACGAAGTACGACATCAGTAGGCGGTGCTGGATTTTACACAGTTTCTTCGGCTGCAGCCTGTTGTAGTTGTGGCAAACTGCCAGTATTAAACATTAAGCTGGTCGAAAGCTTGCACGACGACCTGTTAACGATTCTCTCCCCTGTTGGTCATGCTCAAAATTCCCCCTGATTAAGCGAAGTGAGGCGGGCACCTGTGGACCATGTACAGCTGTTTTGACATCTGGAATCATCAGGTGAGTGATTTGAATGACCTAAGCCAGACATTTAACCAGGTAAAGGAAGGAAAAGAGTTTACTTTATGACAACCTGTGTGGACCTGTGCACACCTGTTAGACAGGTCAGGCTTCAGTTACAAACCTGCCTACCTGCAGGGTGGGAGTAAAGTAGGAGCACTCCCAAACAAGCATGTTTTACACGCTGCTTCAGTGGAGTGTGTGGAGTTGTGTATGCTTTAAAGAAACACAACGACTTACGTTAAAGTTGTGATTTCAGTGTGTCAGTAATTCGGAGGGATTTGAGTGTTAAAATTAAAAAGGTTGCATTAAGCATTGTTTACTGGCAGAAAATACCTGAAATGTATGTTGCTAAATCATTAATCAACAGTAGCCTGTGCTTGTTTTTTGTGCAACTTACCGTTTTCCCACTGGAAAATATTAAAAAAATAAAAATAAATTGAAGAGTCCACATTGTTCTTTGCACTTGAACATTGTGAGCTGTTCTGTGCACTTCAGAAAATTGCTCTTGCTCTTTGATGAAAATCAAGGTGATCTCCTACTGTGACCATTTAGCCACAATGAATAGTGGGTTGTAATAGACGTAAATGACTCCACAAGGAGCCTTTAGTCATATCCAGGTATGCGTCACTGCTGGAAGAAAATGGTTCAGCCACAGTATTGTGGTCATATCCTTTCATTTAAGAGTATCATAGCACAATAACGTAGGATATACAGTGTGTATCCTGTACATTAACTGTGACGTAGTAGTGCTGATAGTAGTTAAACCTAAGCCTGATCTCACAGGGAACCTTTCCATTTCTTACTGAATCAATCTTGCCCAGAACAGATGTGAAGGCAGTGGCGCCAGACTAATCTGATTATCTCTCGGGTGAGAATGAGCGAGAAGGCCGCTGGAGTGCAGATCATCAGTGAAGTGCTCGCAAGGCTGAATAAAGAGGATGAGGAGGAGAAGCTGACAGATGATGAGGAGTCCAGAGTGTGTGGTGTCTGTGGAGATCTGTCTAATGGTTACCACTTCAATGCCTTGACCTGTGAAGGCTGCAAGGGCTTCTTCAGGTAAAGCTCTTCAACATTTAATAACATCATGAATCAAGCAATAAATGGCTGTTTAAGGGCTTTTAGAAAACAAATAGTCCAGCTTTTATGTTTGCTGTATCTAGAGTTTCTCTCATGTTTTTAATTATATTTAGAAAAATTTTGTCATGAAAAGAATCCCTTGTGAATGTGAAATGACAAATTAGTGATCTTCCTTCCGAGGAGCCAAACTTTCTTGTAATCTTTTAAAGTGGTCTTGAGCAATAGTTCTCCAGTCTTCCAGAAGGTCTTCCAAAATTTTTCTTTTTTGACATTTGCTGCTTTCTCAGTCATTTTCACTCACTCAGTTTTTGTACCTGATGAGCATAAAAGGCTCCTGGTTGAACTCAAACCAGTGTTTTGTCCATACATAACTAATAACTTTGTTCATCTAATAAGAAATATTAGATGAACATTTGGCATATCTCAGCAGTGTGTCCTTAAGAATTTTCAGTAGAAGTAGAAGACAAAAGAAGAAGTGGCAGGGTTAGAAAAACTCCATCATCTCCAGCAGATGAACAGTTTCTAAAAGTCATGTCCTTGAGAAAGAGGAAAAAATCCAGCAAAGACCTGACACAGAGAGACACAGAGAGATGCATCTGGCCCTTCAGTTCATCCATCTGCTCTTAAGGGAAGAAAACATGCAGAAAAGGTGGAGGTATTCCAAATTACACAAGAACTGGACTAAACATCAGTGGCAACTGGTCTTGAAATTTGTGGCTCAAATCTCTGTTAATAGGTCAGGAGAGAGGTACACAGCAAGTGCAACATATTTACCTTCATACCACAGTCATTAGTAAAACATCCAGTGGTGTTGGGAATCTTGTCAAAATTAATATAATTATGATCACAGAAAAATACCATCAGATTGCTTTTACCATCTGAGAAAGCATCTGATTGGCATCCGCTTCATTTTTCAACACAGTGATGTCAAACACACTGTAATGTAATAAAGAGTACAGGCAGTCATTACTACTTTTTTTTTTTTTTGGTGGGGTGGGGGATGTTCATGGCATTTTATTGGCTGCTTATATTGTAAATTTTTAATATCATATAAAGTGAAACCACATTTCGGATCTTTTTTTTTCATGCCCAAAAAGTACTTTTTAAGTAGTATTTATAAGTTAATTTGAATTCAGTTCACCTGAATTCAGCACCTCTGTACTTATAGCACCCTGTCAACCAAATAAACAGACACGCGATCGTGAGGACCGGATATACACACATACACACAAGCACATTCTCTATACTACATTTATACATATACAACATCTTGCATAGTATCTATATACATAGATATATACATAGATACAGTGACTATCTTGCTTTCATAGGCTCAAAATGTGAAATAAGCTCGACACCGTCTGCTCTGCAATCTGAAGGCCACCTCAGTTCACTGTGACCTGAGTAACCATGAAGTTGTAGGAAGTTGTAGGATGTTGAATTGTATTCTTTCTGTGGCACATGCAGGTTTCAGAAGACTAGATTGTGACTTGTTGACCTAGTTAGGACTGGTGTAGTTGTGTTCTGAATAAGTTGAACTCTTTTACTAGGACGGCTCACAAACAGGAAATGATAAATGAAAACATGATTTACTCTGAGTCAGAAGCTTGTTATGTTTGAAATGTGTTGTAACTACGTAACAGATATATTAACTTTAACACTAATCACATTTTCAGTTTTCCTCACATTCAGCTGTAAAACGTTTAAAATTATCTGACCTTTTATTTAAAGAGTTTATACAACGAGAAGCTCAAGATGTCTGTCAGATAGGAAGCTGTGTGTCATCAATGTGTTATCATCATCATCAATCACTGGGAGCCCAAATACTAGAGTTTTGTAGTATTGAAGTTAACCATTTATTTTAATGGCTTTTATTTTGATTTTTAATTGAACATTATTATACTGTTCACCATATATGCTCTCTGAACTGTCTCATTTAGAAGTGTGCTCAGTTTTGTTTATTATTTGACTTCTTTAGGCCAAAGTATTCTTTATTTAAACCTCACTTTGCTGCCACCAAAGCTCTCTCTGTCCCTGTTATTCAGATGGGCTGCTGTCGGTGAGCTGAGTGGTCAGATAACATTCAATTTCTGGCATAAAAGGTGGTGTCAGTGTGATATTCTCATCTACTTTGGTTCTTAATTTGACCTTCTCTAATTTCAACACCTTCACAAATTAAATCCACACAGTGCACACAGTACAGACAGTTCATTAGGTACAGGTTGCTAGTACCTAGGTGGTCTCCTTTTGCCTTCAGAACTGATTTATTTCTTGGTGGTATAGATTTAACAAGGTGCCGGAAACATTCCCCAGAGATTTTGGTCAATTTTGACATGATAGCATCACACAGTTACTGCACATCCATGATCTCCCAGACCACCTCATCCCAAAGGCGCTCTATTTTACTGAGAGCTTTTTATTGAGGGCATTTGATTACAGGGAACTTGTTGTCATGTTTAGGAAACCAGGTTGAGATGATTTGAGTTTTATGATATGGTGCATTGTCCTGTTGGAAGCAGCCATCAGAAAATGGGTGCACTGTGGACATGTCAGGCACATTACTCAGGTAGGCTGTCATGTTTAAATGATGCTCAGTTGGTACTAAGGGCCCCAAAGTGTGCCAAGAATATATCTTCCACCCCATTACACCACCACTACCAGCCTAAATGGAGTGGAGATCCATGCATTCATGTTGTTTACACCAAATTTTGACCCTATCAAACAAATGTTGCGGCAGAACTTGAGACTGCACATTTGTTGTGCAATTTCAGTAAACTTGTGCAAATTGTGACTCATTAGATATTTGCATTAACAAGCAGTTAAACCTAATGCATGAAGCTGTTATTTTGTGAGTGGATGTTTTTCATTTCAGACGTAACATAAAGAGGTCAAACCAGCTCCGTTGTCCATTCC